AAGTGCATCAACAAAGCACGAGAGTAACTCGGTTTTTTTAAGAATGCCGAAATAGGATGAGGTTGAATAAAAACTCAATTCATGGTGAATTTAAACCAACCGTTGCTTTTCGAATCAGGAGACCAGTTTGTTCGACCTCTAGCATGCAACTTGCCCCATAGGGCTAGATTGGCAACTTAACAGGGTCATCCCATTCTATAAACGCGATGACGATCGACAAAGAGCACTGGACAACCGATTCGTCCTGTTTGGAACTCGACAACAAGCTTTCCATCACTTACAAATGCATCCAACCAGTGTGGAATTAACTATCTCCCTAGGAGTGAAACCGACACCTCTAAACCACCAATAGCGCCTGGACAATCGAGTGGGCTAAATCAAACTTGATACTCATCCCCTGCCTGCACTTCAATGTAGCGCACCAAAGTGTGGTAAAATGACTAGGATAGATGAAAACATGATACCTGTGATCACTTGCAAGCCTTTTTGAGAATTCAAATTGATATATACGCACACCATGAGTGCTTCATTAGCGAGATTAATTCTGAATTGTGAAACACTCAGAGCCAGCTTGTCCGAAAGAAACCAAACCTATAAAAACTACTACCTGTATGTATACTTCGTCCTTTGTTTTGGATCGGGTAAAACCGCTCAATTAAATAGAAGAACAATGATGAGAGCTCCACGCCAAGCATAGGATGCTTAGTAGATGGAATATCAAGATTCATGACCCCTGGAAAAGTAGGTAACGGGGCTAAGTTGATCGATGCAATTCACGCAAGCATGAGTGCACACAGACACACACAAACGCACCTTGTCCACCTTATCGTCGGTCACACAGAAACAACGAATCAGCGCCTCATCCGTGTCCAAACGTTTGGTGAACACAACAAATTTACCCATGTAGGGGACCAGACTGGCTTCACGATACAGCTGACCAGCCAGCTCGGTGGATTCGTGCACCGCTTGACAATCGATCAACCAGAACCTGGACGAAACAGAATAAGTACAGGGGAGGGGAGAGCGATAGCAGAGAACGGATAAAATAAGCTAGAAAACTCACTGAAATGCGCAAAAAAAACGAGGGTGATAAGAAGTTGAACTACAACGATTTCGAAGTATTAACCTCAGTTCTGAGGGACTATTATACTTCTCTGTTTGAAATTTAATAATGGTAAAACCAGTCTCCCGGAATGCATTATCAGTCAACTGTGGCAATGCTCAGTGGACTGACGCAAGAAAGTGAGCTATTGAAATGCAAATAAACGCTGACTTGTAAGATAACGGATGATGATTGGTTCGTGATGGAGAGATAAGGCCAGCATCCGTGAAAAGTGGAACTGATCAACCCGACTACCCTTAAAACTCTACCCCCCATACACACACTTTCATTTATTGTCATTCAATGGAGAGCAATTGAAACGTGGACACAGAGTACTCTGTCAGAAATAGGGGAGAGGGTAGTGTCTAATCCTACAACTGGTTGGTACAGAATCAAGAAGTGGAAACACAAATCAGGTAAAATAAACAACATTAATGAATCACAAAGTTCGTTCACTACTCGAATACTAACAGAGCCAGTAGAGTACGGTCAGGCAAAATCAACCGGGCGATGTAATACCGAACCGGATACGAGGGTAGCGTTTCGGACAAAAAAAAGACTGACTTAGTCCCCGAAGCACCAGAAGTATATGGATAGTTCATCAAGTCAGTCAAAGTTTGTCTTACTCGTTTCGAATCCCAAACGATGTCGAGTAGCGGGTGAGACACCAATCATTCTTTTTCCTTTTTCAGTACTACCTCCTTTTATTGAATATACAATGACACAATTCTCAAGGAGGAGGCGGCCAACCTAAAGGCTGCCATGGGGAATCAGACGGTGCCGATGGGATTCGAACACACGTTTTTCGGGGTGATAATTTGATGACATTACAAACGCGCCACCAACGCCCGAGGGAAGAAAAGCGAAAGACTGAGGTGTGAAAAGAAACGGTGAAACGATACGGTTTTTCTTGGCAACCCCATGCCTCATTCAAGGCAAGTAGGATCTTGTAATAGGGATTCAGCGCGGAGCATAAGCAAACGCTTGAGTAGCTTTTATTCCTTCGATGCGGTGATTTAGGACGAGATCATACTGATGCGGACCCGGTGCACAAAATGACAACGCATCACAAAGCAACAACTGAGGCCAACAACCGATAAGAAGGATTTGTGTGCATAAAGATCCTTCCATGGAAATTTGGTGATACACATGAGTGGTGTTTGGAAGCTCAGTTTACTAGACTATTTTGCTTGTAGTGGACAAAGATCCATTGAAGATGTCTCCCAAAACTGCTTCGCCTCTAATTGCGTTCAGTTTTCACTTCGTTTCTTTTTATATTTTCACAGCATAATCGATTTTGTGCTGTCGGATGGATTTTTACGTCACTGAAAGCACAGATGCAGAAGGATTCAATTACGAGACCTACATGGAAATATATATATATATATATATATCGAAAAAATGGAAGTGTAAAAACATATTTAGAGTATGAAGCTCGAATTAGCCCATTCGATTGTCCAGAGGCACCAGGCACTCGTGATAGTCTTCGGTTTGGGTTTCACTCTTTGGGACGTCGTTATTTCCCCACTGTTTGTATGCATTTAAATGCGATGGAAATGTTTGTGATAACGAACAAAGAGCACTGGGCAGCTGTTTCGTCCTGTTTGGGACTCGTTAGCAGTGCGCGTTGGTTGTGGGTTTCACTCCATGGAAGATTAATTGAGCCATTCGCACAGGATGATTACTGTCGACCGTGTAGCTCAGGGGTAAGGGTTTGAAGTCCCCACCCGACTGATCCCAGTTCGAGTCCTGACAGAGATACAAAAAGTACGCGCATTGCTGATGAGTCCCAAACAGGACGAAACAGCTGTCCAGTGCTCTTTGTTGGTTATCACAAACATTTCCATCACATTTAAATGTACAAACAGCTTCAGTTTAGCAATAAAATTATCAGATAAGAGCTTCACCTTTGTCGTACGGTCAGCAGATCGCTCACAAACGATTAAGCGATAGAATAAATTGGAGTTTTACCAAGCCCATCAGTCAGTACTGTGCAATCAAATACAAGAGGGCCAGGAACATCGACGAACACAACAACAACAACAAACTCAGAATGAGCCTGTAACCTCAGTGGTTTGCACATTGCACGGTCATAGAAATACTGAAAAAGAGGGGAGAAAGCGGACAAAGCTACGGGGAAAGGCAAAGTAAATTTACCCGATACTTTACACTGGACTTATTCAAGATATCGATGTGAGACAAGTTTGAATAGAGAAATTAAACGTACTGGTGTCCATACTGAATCCTGGGTGATCTGACCACATCGGCAAGTGTGCACACAGACAGGACATGCTCGTCGAACACGTTGATCACCAAGGTAATAAAAATGTGGCAAATTTATCATGTTACTTGCACATTACTAGATGATGAGGATTTTGACTGGTTCGTGCCGCCAGCGCGTTTTAGAATTATGATTTTCTCTATGACCCAGAATGTATCCGCTCAGCATGGCGAATGGTAACAGAAGAACTGAGTTTTCCAAATCTCACCGATGATATCATACGTTCAAAGTTCCCACGCATTGTTTCATGAATCCAGACCGAGACTTGCTCCCCCGACCTCATACTCTTCTTGGTGAGCGACATGTTCAGGGTGTATCAATGTATAGTCTATTCTTGGCGGATTTAAGATCCGTCGTTTTGTAAAGCCCAATTGAACTGTAGTATGCATGTAGACAGATGCAGCTTATCAACCCAGAGTAACTTGTGTAAAACCTGTTTTGATTTTTCTATTCGAGTGGTGGTATCTTCTATCCACATGAAATAAGGGTTGTACAAATGCGCTTTCACACAGTCCCTTTTGTCGGAATACGTAAGCGAGTAGGAACGGTTTCTAACATCCCTGAGATTGTAGTACAGTAAGCAAATCGTACCTGGCAGATACAGTTGTCGTGAAAGACACACAATCTTTAACCTTGGACAACGGTGTGGATCCCGTAATGTCCTCCCACTGGGCTGGAAGCGTCCCACCAGTGATACTGCATAACAGCCGCAGACTGGGAGCACTTTGCGCCTTTAAATCACCACCACCTCCACCTGTGCCAGGTGGATTGAGCATACCGCGCATTGCGGTTTTAGGGAGTGGAATGGTTAGAGTGATCGGTTTATGAAATTTCCGCCGACGCGGTTCCAGGGTGACAATCGGTGAAGCTGCGACTCGATTTCCCAACAAACGCGTAACCATTTCGGTCGGGATCGGATGTGCCTAGGTGAATGTGGTGAAATAAGACAGGGAATGAATGAAAATAAAGGGTCAGAGAGAGTAGAGACTGGGAACAACAGGGGTAGAGGAATGGAGGACGGATAAACTCGACAAAAAGTGATGATATGATGATATGATATCATATTCGTTAATTACTCGGACGATTTAGTTAACTCATAAAAGTACTAAAGTTGGGGCGTGAACTGAACCACTTATGAATATATCAGCTCCATGCAATGAAAGAAATTTAATGGGAAACCATTTCGGTTTATGACTGCACTTTTCCAAAAAAGAACAACGAGCAATCTTTTAAAGGTTCCCTATATTTATTATTTGTTACTTATTCACCAGAGTTAATCAATTAATCAATCGAAGTCTGTTATTTCTACACAAAAAGTCGATGTTTTATCAATGTAGAAGAAAAATGCTGTATACTCTCATTTTTCGAAATATGCCCATTCGAGAATTGTTCACTTCGTGTCTGTGTATGCGTGTGTGTGTTGCACACCGCATTCTCAGATCTGTGCTTCCGGGGTTTCCAGTTATGTCACGACAGTCGTATGACCCAGTTCTGAGAGATCGGTGTTGTTGTGTGAACATCTTCGTGTGCGTGGGCAGGGGGGAGGGGTGGGTTCGCGAACCCACGGGGAGATGGAGAGCTTGGATTAGACGTTTCTGAGCCCATAGTGTTCGGGGGTCAAATGCTTAATACAGATGGCCTCGGCCATGGCCAACGTGCGCACTCTAACGTATTTGGACCGGTCTGGGGGGACCTGATAGATAATACGGAATGTTTCCCTTGGTTTAATACGATGACCAGTGTCTACCAGGTGAGCGAGAATTGCACTGGTGATAGATCCGGAACCACCTGGACTCAGCCAACGCGGATGATGTTCTTCATGCGGATAGATAACTGATCATACGGTCATACTGGTCATATGACCGATATAGAGTGTGTCACAAACGCATCTGAACGAGTAAACAATCATTGAAGCGGTCAACATCGGTATTTTATCTTTATTCCGTATGGTTATCAGTGGTGAACTTTTGAATTTGGCTTTTACCGCTCCATTCGGTCGTCTTATGAGGGATTGAGCGACAACTTCACCCTAAAAGGGAGACTGAGGAACAGGTCACACGGCGCCTCCCTCTCCCCCCCCATTCAAAGATCGTCGTCCAGTCGAGTCTACCGCTCATTGCATTTACGCCTTCTGTTGTAGCTGCAACAAAGCATACAATGGTAGNTGTGAAGCCCCAGTTGTTGAACACTTGATACAACAAATTCCCTCTCACACTCGGTTTGTACCGGCAGAAGAAGCTGCACTCAATATGCGGGGCTATAACCGAGCTGATTGGCAGGTATCTCGTCCTGGGGAGGTCCAAAACCTAGATATTCGACTTCAAAAAAAGTATGAAATAGCTCTAGGGCGTCCTTGTGCCAAAAACTGGCTAATCTGCAAGGCTGAAAAAGCTGCACGCGAATCCCAAACGAACTG